TCTGCTCTAAACTTCCTCCTAATGTATTAATGATGAACATTGTTGTTATTGTTGTTAAATGCTGTTGAGTTGGTTCTGACTAATAGCAACCCTGTATAGGATTTCTGAGGAGGTGAGTTGAACTGCTGACCTTCTGGTTTGCAGTCTAGTACTTATCCCACAGTACCACACCAGGAGTTCAATGATGAATATGACTAATTGTGCATCTCCACTTGTCCTCACTCTTATTTATCTAGTGCTGCTACAAAAATAGTACATAAGTACTGGTTTTAACAAACTGAGATTTATTTTCTGAGAGTTTATGAGGCTAGAAGATCAAATTCAGGATGCTGGCTCTAGGCAAAACTTTATTTCTATGCTACCTCTGGCTGAAGGTCTTTGTTTCTTATGAGCTTCTGCTTCTCGGAAATAGTCACATAGTTTGTCATCTCTTTTTTTCCCATCTTTATTCTGGTCATTTGTTTACTTATTTTATATAGCAAAAGAGAGTGAGTTTACCCTAATACTGCTTCATTAACATAACACAGATAGCCTAGCCACAAATGGAATTGTAAGCATAGATATAAAGCTTATAATTTACATCACATAGTTTTGGGGGACATTATTCAATCCATAACATCCTCACTCTAAAAGTCACACAATCATACACAGATTTCCTTGTTGTCTTCCTGTTCTCTACATTATAAAATAATGGCAAACAATTCTTTCTTTATTCAAGTCTGTTTATATATACAGATACCTTTGTTACTTATATTTATTCTGCCTTAACTTATTGCTAACCTTCCTTCAGCAATTTCACTGAACATATATTTATTGAGACTTGCTATATAACAGACACCATGTAAGATGCTATATGGAGTTTGCAGTCTAGAAATAAGAAAAACCAGTAAATAGATCATTAAAAGTATTAGAAATTTAAATGATCAAGTACAAGTATAAATGTAAAAAAATATGACTGTGTAGGTAATTATTTTGTTAACATTGGTTTGGGGCTATGTCTCATATATATTATACATAGTTACATAATGAGAGGAGATGGAAGAAGAAACTTGGGGAAACATGATGCATCAAAACTGTACCAAAAGAGTCTACAAATGCTCTTTTGAAGAATAGCCAAGTTATGCAGTACTTGGGAAATGAAATCACAAATTATAATAAAACTAATTTGTTGTTTGAAGATACAAATCTTTGAATGGCATAAAAATTGGTCAGTACTTTTTTTTTTATAGACCATATAGAATATTAATGATATTGATGACTTTTAAGAGTTCATAATCAGTAAAATTATTGTGCATCTCTGTAATTAGTACAAGCATTAATGAAAAAATGACCACCAGGAAAGATGCTAAGAAAAAAAAAAATCTTATTTATAGGAATGAAAATGTTTGGCAAATAAAAATTTTTTTTAAGAGAGAAAGAGCCTCAGTAGAGTGTGATTAAACAATACTAACATATATGTAAGTTCTTACCAACAACTAATAACTGTACCAAGCTCCTTACAGTTATGCTATATTTAGTTTTTAGCTCAATATCAAGATATAGATATTAATGTCTCTGGGATTTCCCCAACCCCCACCCCCAGAGGTTTGAAGAGTGGAAGTACTTTGCCCAAAGTCACACAGCAATTATGTGTTTGAACTCAGAGCTACGTTAAGGACTATCCATTATATTTATAAAATCATGAAATGTGGGACAAGAAAGATGATAATTCTGTGTTCCACCAAGTGCTTTTGTAATGAACAATATACTAACTATAAGTGCTAAGTGGTTATTTAGATTATGCTTGAACAATTCTAGTTGTGTGCATATGTCTGCACATTTAGGCAACTGATTTCATTTGCTGGCTGTCTTCTTACACTATATTATGTAAGATATTTCTCTCAATAGTTTCCAACAGTTAGTTTTACTTCAGTCTCTCCAAGACATTAAAAAAGAGTATATAAAGAAAATGCAAAAAACAAAAGACCTCATTGCTGTGAAATCAATTTCAACTGATATGACCCCAGAGGATATAGTTTCCAAACTGTAACCTTTACATAATCAGACAGCTACCTATTTTTCCCTCAGAGCACTAGTGGCCTCAGATTGTCAACTTTTCTTGACAGGAAGCTCTTAACCACTGTATCATCAGACCTCCATTAAAAAGAGTCCAACAGCTGTTATGTATAGCACCATTGGAAAGTGGTTGTCACATGTTACAAATATTTTTTATACCTCTTCTTTCAGCTATTCTTCAAAAGACAAGGTTTATAAATATTTTCTCTGAAATTTTTGAATTTCCTTATATTTCACATACTACATCTCTCTGGAACACAGTAATACAGTATTTGTTTTGTCAACTAGGACTCTGACATTATGCTTGTAGTATATAGTTGTTGTCTTTGCAAACGTGGGCTAAAGATACCTGTTGTTGCTGTTAAGTGATGGCAACATGATTCTGAGTCACCATGGCACTGTATAGTGTTTGTAAATAGCAGATGGTGGAATTGAACTGCTGACCTTTCAGTAGCAGTCCTTATCCTACAGTGCCACCAAACCTTGACTCCAAAAACATATATCTTTATGAAATCTCTATCACATTGTTGATTAGAGATATGGTTGTTGTGGTGGTGGTGGTAGCATGTCACTAAATCAGTTCTGACTTACAGGGCACCCATACAGGGGGTTTCTGGGGCTGTATTTTTTATTGCTGTTGTTGTTAAGAAACGTGGAGTCGGTTCCAACTCATAGTGTCCCTGCACAGGGTTTCCAAGGCTGTAAATCTTTACAGGAGCAAAACGCCTCATCTTTCTCCCGAGGAACCGCTGGTAGTTTCAAACTGCTGATCTTGAGGTTGGCAGCCCGACTCGTAACCACTACGTTCAGAAAATCTCATCTTTCTCCTGCAGGTCAGATGGTAGATTTGAACTGTTTACTTTGTGATTAGCAACCCAAAGTGTAACCTCCTATGCAACCAGAACTCCATGTTAGTATTATACTTCGAGTGAAAGCCATAATTATATGTGCTATGTGTTTTACTAATCCTCATCTCCCCAATCTTGGATTTATATAGCAAAACCTGACAATCATAGAAGACATGCATTGTTATCTATGAAAACCATCCTATGTTCTGGTAATAAAACACAGTTTTCGGAACAATACAACTTCAGTCATGAAGTGAAATCCAATCATAATCTGTTAGGCATTGGACTATTATTGGGTTTTGAAACCTTGCACCTCAGGAAAAAGAGGAGTTTCTCTGTTTGCTTCCATAAAGATTTATAGTTTCAGAAACATTAAATAGGGACACTACAAAGTGAAATTGACTTGATGGCTGTGTTCTGTTTTGTGTTGTTTGGGGGGTTGGGGTTGGGGGAGAAATCATAGTCTACTGCTTACCAGACCATAGGGGTGGAATTCATGACCCAAATTTAGGTCATTATACCACTTTCCTGGGATTGTTAAATTAGATATCATAGAAGACAATCCTTCAATCTTGGTGAAGCTGTTGCAGTGTAAATGTGGGATCATTCAGGCAGTTATGTCCTTGTCTCTTAGTCTGTGTAAAGGAAACTGGGGAAAAGCACTACAAAGTCTTAAGAAGAAAAGTTAGTGGTAGTTTTCCAGTCCTTTTGCTATTGTGAATTAGGACACTAAGTAAGAAAAATAACTCAGACTAATATTCATAATTATCACAAATTTATGAACACAGTGTTTATCAATGAGTAAAACCATTTTCCTTTTCATTCAAAATCAAATGTTAATGTAATGATTATGCACTACAGTAAGAATGATATTAATCTATACATATTTAATATGGGAAGGAAATCTGGTATCTTAATGGATTTCGAGATGAGCTGCTAACTGAAATGTCAGCAGTTGGAATCTACCAGTTACTCTAGGGGAGAAAGATGAGGTTTTTTTTGCTCTTGTGATGATTTATACCCTTGAACACCCTATACAGGGTGACTGTGAGTTGGAACTGACTCCATGGCATAAAATTACTGATCACTACATTGAATACGGTAATAAAAGAAACAAATCATGGGAAAAGAACACTAGTAGCATTCATTCTGACTGACCAAAAAATCCATAGATGTGTTTCACCTTGTTGTTATTGTTATTGTTTTTATTGTTGTTAAGTGCCATGGAGTCCATACCAACTAGTAGCGACCCTGTATAGGTTTTCCAAGGAGAGGGTGGGTTTGAACAGCTGATCTTGCAGGACAAACTGACTTTATAATCCAGTGCATTATCCTGAAGCACCACACCAGAATTTCATGTTTCAACATAAGAATTAAGAAATTATCCTAATTATGGTGGTGGTGGTGGTTGTTTGCTGTGGAGTTGGGTCCCAGTGATAGTGACTCTCTACTATGTTTCTGAAACTTGGTATGTCACTGTAGGATAAGGACTGGACCACAAGGTCAATTTGTACTGCAAAGTCGGTGGTTCAAACTCACTAACCACTTCTTGGAAACATAAGAATCAACTTGATGGCACTTAACAACATATATAGTTTCTGAGGCTGTACATCTTTCTTCCATGGAGCAATTGGTATATTTGAACTGTTGACCTTGCAATTGCAGCCCAACTCATAAACCACTACACTTTCAGACTCCTTTATTAATAGTATAAGACTCTTGAAATCTGTAATTCATTCTGTGGTCAATCATAATCATTGGACTCTGCAGTAACAGGAGACACTAAAGAAATCTCTGGAATATTAATCTACTGGTTACGAGTTGGGTTGCTAACTACAAAGTCAGTGTTCAAAACTATCAGCTGTTCCATAGGATAAAGCTGAGGCTTTCTGCTCCCATAAAAATGTACAGCCTTGGAAACCCTATACTACATCGTTATGAGTTGAAAACAACTCCATGGCACATAACCAAACAAGTAAGTAATAAAATAAGGATCTACAGAATTACCTTTTCCCCTCCACATACACACATATACATGTGCATACGCTTAAACACAGCAAAATATAAACTCACATACATATGTGGAACTTACTTTCTTTTTTAGAACCTGATGAGAAAATAATGGACCACAGAAATCATTCAGCAATGACTGAGTTCATCCTTGCTGGGCTCACAGAACGTCCTGAATTCCAAATACCCCTCTTCCTCCTCTTCCTAGGAATCTATGTGGTCACAGTCATAGGAAACCTGGGCATGATCACACTGATTGGACTCAGTTCTCACCTTCATACGCCCATGTACTATTTCCTCAGCAGTTTGTCCTTCATTGATCTCTGCCAGTCCACTGTCATTACCCCTAAAATGCTGGTGAACTTTGTGACAGAGAAGAACGTAATCTCCTACCCTGAATGCATGACTCAGCTCTATTTCTTTCTTATTTTTGCTATTGCAGAGTGTCATATGCTAGCTGCAATGGCATATGATCGCTATGTTGCCATCTGTAACCCCTTGCTTTATAATGTTATCATGTCTTATCACACCTGCTTCTGGCTCACAATAGGAGTTTATATTCTGGGTATCATTGGCTCTATAATTCATACAGGCTTCATGTTGAAGCTCTTTTTCTGTAAGGTCAATGTGGTTAACCAATATTTCTGTGATCTCTTTCCACTCCTGCAGCTATCCTGCTCTAGCATCTATATTAATGAAATATTGGTTCTGGGTCTGAGTACATTCAACATATTTATTCCTGCCTTAGCCATCCTTGCCTCCTACATCTTCATCTTTAGTAGTATTCTCCACATTCGCTCCACTGAGGGCAGATCCAAAGCCTTTAGTACTTGCAGTTCTCATATATCAGCAGTTACACTCTTTTTTGGTTCCTTAGCATTTATGTATCTGCAGCCATCAAATGTCAGACCCAAGGACCAAGGGAAAGTTTCTTCTGTGTTTTATACTATTATTGTCCCCATGCTCAACCCCATGATCTATAGTCTGAGAAATAAAGATGTCAAACTGGCACTGAAGAAAATTGTAGAAAGTCGAGAATGCTTTTGAATAGAATCAACACTACAATGTGCAGTCAGAAACAGATCTTTGGTTTGCTGAGATATATAATTTGTTCAGTTAATTGTTGAAATGTGTGAACTCATCTGCACTTTTTCCCCCTATATCATGTAAGTCCTTTCATACAATATCTTCTTTCAATTCTACAGTAAGGGGAGTAGGGATTATGAGTAAGGCTGATAATTCAAGGCCAGTAGTTCAAAACTACCAGTGATTCCATGTGAGAAAGATGAGGTTTTCTGCTTCTGAAAAGATTTACAACCTTGGAAACTCTATGCAGAGTTGCTATTAGTCAGAACTGACTCCATGGTACAAAGCCACAACCACCATATAAACAGAAATACAGAGTATAAAATCCAAGGCTATTTTAAATTACAGAAACTATATATTCCATTTTAGTAAGAATGCCAACAAAAAAATCAAGGAAGATGATGATGATAATCATGATGATGATGAGACTAACATACATTATTGAGGTATTACAATCTGACCAACCCTGTGTCAAATAGCTATTTAGATATTTAAAATTGTATATATATTTTTTATATATTTAAAATTATATGTTTAATATACATTTATTTAATATTTACAATATTCCCCAGGGAAAGTACCAATAGTTTTACCTTTTCAAAGATGAAAAAAAAATCAAGTCTTAGAGACTTTTTGTATCAAGTCTAGAGTCTAAAAATAAAGCAATTAAGCCTGAGGGGGGGAGGATATGAGAAGTTTGATTCCAAAATTCATGATTCTACTCAAAGTGATTCTCATACCAAGAGAAACTGTTGGAAGTCAAAGAACTACCTCTGAAATCTCTACACACTGAGAAATCCTAGATACCTCTATGACTGTACTGCTGTCCTCTGAATATAGTGGTTGTGGTGGTGATTGGGTGTTGAGGAGTTGATTCCTCATCATAACAATCCTGTACAGAATTTACAGGAAAAGAATACATCATCTTTCTATCTTAAAGCAGCTGATAGATTTGAACTGTTGACCTTACAGTTAGTAGCCCAACTCATAACCGACTATGCTACCATAGCTCTTTGCCCTCTGACTATACTCCATTTAAGTTTCACCTTTTTTTTCACAGAATCAAATTATTTTACATCTGTGCTGATCAAACCAATATGGAGCATAATTAGGATTTTTTTCATGATGAAAACTCCAGTTATTACATATGAGAGTATTTTCCTTGATATCAGTAAAGATGGGATTGGTTGCTTCAACTTGTTAGAAGCCAACAAACCCTGCAAATGTGTAATGCTTCCATGCTGTGCATTGTCTTAAAAAAAAATTTTTTTTTTAAGGTTTTTATTTTGGATTGAGTGAAAGTTTACAGGGCAGATCATCACTTTCACATTCAACAAATCATATATCTTGTTTCATTACAATGATTCTAATCCCCTCCACATACAATCAGTGAACAGTATTTCTCTATTCACATTAGCTCTCCCCCCCCCCCTTTTTTTAAAATACTCAGGCATATATAATAATTTACACCACCAAAAGGCACATTCTGCAAGTCTGCTTCCTGGATGCCATCTCTTAGTCCCTCTATTCCCATGAATCTAGAGTCCTCAGCTGCTCCCTCTCTCCATGTCCCAGTCTCTGCCTCCATCTCTGGTACTCTGCTTCTCTGGATAAGGTCCTGCATTCCACTTGTGCTCTTCTCCCTTTGTTTCTAGACTGTAAGCTTAACTACTCCCCTGCTTTTGTTACAAAATTTCTACCTTTACAATTGGATAGTTGAAATTGTCATGATAACAATTACTCACTGTTGAATCATAAGAATCTTATCCCTATCTCTTTTAATCAGACCCATCTAGGCAAGATGTAAACTATTCAGTGAGGACACTTTCTTTCCCCACATACTATTAAACTAAACTCCTCCTTGAAACCTTGTAAGCCAATCACTTCATGCTTTTATTGCCCTCTCATTTTAGGTAGCCAGTGTCTAAGTTGCCCATCCCTATCAGCCCTGTAAAAAAAAGGATAGCATTGATACTTGATGTGAACACTCTTTCGCACTCTGTTGGTATTTAGAGTTACTACCTCCATGAGTATAGGTCAAGTTCATCAAACTGTAGCAATTTATCCTCATTTCCTTTATCAAGAATAGTTTTGTTCTATTCTTTCTTTCTTTCTTTCTTTCTTTCTTTCTTTCTTTCTTTCTTTCTTTCTTTCTTTCTTTCTTTCTTTCTTTTTTTCTTTCCTTTTTATAAATCTTCCTCTAGTCAAGTTCTGATTATCAAGCCATTGAGGCTAGGTTGAATGGGTACTATCTGAAACCTTTGATGTTCTTGTATGTGCATTGTCTTTTTCCCCCAAATTTTCATTCACCCTTTCAGTAAAATTGGCCTTGAAAACAATTCTTCTCTCCCCTCATATTATTGCTTTTCTGATTCAGTGTATTTAATATCTTGTAACTGTGGCTTTACATGGTAATTTAAAACTTCAAATGCCTAATGACTCTCTACATTCATACCATTTTATTCATTATGGACATACTGTTCTATGCATTTTCTGTTATTCATGTATTCAATGAGGAAACAGCTTGAATAGTTTACCAATTTAATGACACAAATGTATTTAACATAGTCAACTATCCTGTTTTCCATCCTCCATTCATTCATTGTGGTGAGTCATTCATTCTCAAAGAAGTTTTGCATTTATTATTTGATATAATAAATATTTAAGAGAAATGGCTACAATTATAACTTCAGTCTTAAGACTACATCCTGGTGCAAAACTTTCCTGTCATATCTCAAACAGGTGAACATTGCACAAGCAACAAAAAAAGGTTACTTGGAAGGCCATTTAAGGATTTGGGCTTTATCTCAAACAGAACATATAAACTAAGTGAAAGGCAAAGACCTCATAAAGGATACAGGGAAAGCCTGTGCAGATCAAAATAGGGTGTATCATATTTAGGGTAATATAATAAAATTACACACTGAATTCAAGGTAGCCAGGCAAGAGGCAAGAGTAGTATAGAAGGCATAATGAGCACCATTATGTCACTGTAATAATTCAGTCTTTTGTAGGTGAGTGGAGTTACTAAAATTTTGTTAAGCAGGGAAGTATTGCAGTTAGATTTGTATGCAACGTTATACTTCAGTTGTTGGAGACGATGAAAGGAAAGATAATGAGACTAAATTCAAAAGACTAGTCAGCAATCATTTTGCTATTCCAAGGAAGATAACACTTGTTTGTGGTAGGGGGACCTTGAAAGAGGTTTCAAGAGATTTTTGAGAAGAGGTTGAGATTTATGATTGGTGAAAAGTGAGTTAACTATAAAATAAGTTTCTAGCTAAGATTACTTAAATAGATGTATGGATGATAGTAAAACTCATAAAGCGGAGTTACTAAATCAAGGTAAGAATTTACAGTAAGACAGTTGGGCAACTAGATATAATTCAAACTTTCTCTTTCTCTATCTGTGGCTCTTTGTGTTTTACAATTCTCTCCTTTGTTTTTAGAGAATAAATATCTACTCTCATGCATAAGAATGCATAAACTGAAAACCTAGTTGAATTGAAAGAATATCTGTATGAGTCTGAGTATTTTTAATCATTTTGTAATCACCCATGACAAGACTTGTTGATAACTTCACCAGTAATTACCTTCCAACTCTTTTCTGTTCCTTTTATATAAAACATTGAACTTTAGTAAATAATGATCACATTTTCTTTAGCTAGCTTTGAATTCCATGGCCACTACAATTCCAAAAAGATCACTACAAGTTCTTAGCCTGAGAAAAATTGCTCAAATTTGAAAAAATATATAAGAAAATCAAAATAGCATCTATTACCTTAACTCACACTGGCAAAATCAGAGAGTTTCAAAAAAAAATCTGTACAAACACAAATCTCACACCAGAATTATAGTTAATTCAAAATCTACTTTTTAACAAAATCTCTAATTGATTCTAGAACACATAAAATTTGATAGGCATATGTCAATTTTTACAAATATTGATCTCTGGCCCTAGACCCAAAAACTATTATTTATATTGAGGTAGCTTCAGTGTAAGGATTTAAAAATAACTCTCTTAATGGTTTAAAATACAGAATGAGGATTGAGGAACAAGGATACATATAGTTCAATCTTAATCTTCTTTTAAAATATCTGATTTTAATTTATTTCTCTTTTAAAATACCTTTCCAAAACTGATTGCTCAAATTTACTTTCATTCATATTGAAATCTAAGACTGCTTTCAATTATTCTTGTTTTAGAAAAATGAAAGTGAAAATATACATATGTAAGAAATTGGAATATAGGTTATAACAAAATAAGCTCCATCTTTCTCATGCAGAACAGCAGGTAGTTTTGAACTGCTGACTGTGTGATTAGCAGCATGATTCATAACCACTAAGCTACCAGAGCTCCTTATAAATTATAGAGAATAAATTAAATCAATATATTAAAATTTTAGAAGCATTAAAATTTATATTCTGAATTCTCACTAACTTTGCAGTCTTAAAATGCAATTATACATAGATTTGGTTTTAAATCTAGTAACTATTTATTATTTAATCTATGGACACAATATTGACTGATACAGAAAGCATCAAGAGAAAATAAAGGTAATGCATAGAGCCACTGTACCAAAAATAAAATTTTAACATTCAACCATTTTAAGAGGTAGCATATGATAGTGTAGTGGTTACGAATTGAGCTGTGAGCCATAAGGTTAGCAGTTCGAAACTACCAGCTGTTCCGCAGGAGAACGATGAGGCTTTCTGCTTCCATAAAGATTTACAGCCTCAGAAACCCTGTACAGGGTCACTATGAGTCGGAACTGACTCCATGGCACTTAACAACAACAACATATGATCAAGAGCCAATGGTACTGATGGAAGAAATCCAAGATACACTGGAGACATTAGTAAAGAGTAAGAACATTGGGAATTGAGACCTCTTTCCAAGAACAAAGACGTCAGTTTGAGGATTAAGGTTTGCCTGACCCAAGCCATGGTATCTCAAGAGC